GACCGCCTCTGCACTACCACGCATTATCGCATACACGCATTCATGCATGCACGCACTCACTCACGCACGCACGCACCACAACGAGTGTGCTGATTGGCTGACACTCTACCTGTCAATACACTCTTCCACCGCACTTATTGGCTGGTGTGAAGGCCTCGTTGAGGTATAAATAAAGCACCAATTGGCAAGCACAAGCATTGTCGCTTCGCCGTTGTGTGTTCTGTTTTCTCTCTCTGCACACCGCATTCGCATCAGCGTAGAATGGAGAAGAGCATAGTAGTACGCAGTCGCCCCCACCACTGCTCTATCAGTCCTGGTTCCTGGCCTCGGCCGTATATTTGATGTCTCCTCATCCGAGGGCTCGAGTCCAGTGGCGAGTAGCCCCACCTACTACGGCACCGAGGAGGACGCTTTCTTTGCCTTCGACACGAGTGGCAGCGGCAGTGGCGGTGGCGGTGGTAGCGGCAGCCTCAAATTGACTGAGGAGCCGGAGTGCGTGGATCTGGTGGAGGTGGAGAGTTTGGCCTCAGCCACCGCGATGGAGGCCATTTTGGCTGCCGAGGGTGGGCGTGGCGCAGCACACTGGCTGGTGGTGTACGTACGCGGGAGCACGACAGCGGTGCTCTTCCCACCACGGGAGACGCGTGGCCACAGTCTGGCGCGCTGTGGTCTCACCACCTGCATGGAGTGGCTGGAGGCGGCTGGCCTGAGCCAACTGCTCATTGCTGTGCCCAGTGGGGAGGGAGAGACGCTGTGCAAGAACCTCCTCTTTCTTGGTTTCTCTCGACTGCCCAAGGAGGTGGTAGCCAAACAACTGCCTCATTGGTGTGCTAGATACAACCTCCTCGTGATCGATTTTACCGATTTGTAAGGTCTCGTCTGCTGAGTCTTCTTGTTTTCACCCTCAATAAATGCCTATTTGTAAGCCTGTCTATTGTTTTTGATGTGCGGGGAGTGAGTATGGGGTGTAGATTGTTGGATTTCGTGGAAGGAAATGCAGGTTTCTGATGTGGGTCACTCTTCACAGCTCTTTTTTGCATTAGCGGCTTGCCTCCATGGAATGTGGGGAATGTTAGCAGTTTGGCGGTGCTTCACCTGATCTTTCCTTGATCGAAACCTAACATAAAGTGGTTTGCGTATGTTGGAATACTTAAACAAAGTCGAATTGACTCGTGAATGAAGGCTTCTTTTACTAGAAAATTATTATTTCGAACTAAAATACGTCTGGTTGGAGCACTCGTTTTTGGTTTCGCCTACTTCCTCACGCATTCGGTTGGGCAACCCATTGATGGATTCGGAGGTACCTATTAACACCCATTGGTGCTGAATAGAGACAAAAGGGTTGATTCAAGAATTTAATGTTGATTGTAGACCAAATGGTTAGCCTGGTAATGTTAACTTCAAATCTGCTTCATGGCAAACACTTTAGAGTGCATCTTTGCCACTTCCATGCAGCGATATGAAATATATTGATAGTAAAGATTGTGAACGTTTTGAAGCGTCTGAAACATGCTTCACACATAAACTCACCATCAAAAAGACCATCGCGCATTTACTTTTTCAATGTTGTCGCCGCAGGTGTGATCGCGCCACTTTCAAGGTGACTTTTGCTGCGTGGAGTTGCTCCAACAGGGTGGCACGTGGTCACCAGGTTTGGGCACATTGTGCAGTTACTTTCTGAGTCATCTTGTAAATTACCTTTCTGACGATCATGCGTAGCATTGACGAGAATATGCTCAGTCAATGTGCTCTACTTTTCACCAGAAACTTTTCGTAAATGCTTGGAAAATCAGGTAACCTCTATCACTGTCCTGAGAAATCGGTGCCGTATTTGAAATGCTTGAATCCTCTTATATGTCACCTTATATTGTAAATAAATCAGTCAGTTCGTGAATATATTTTCACCCGTAGATTAAAGGATTGAGATGCTGGTTTCAACGCTAAAATGCTCAAGGGCTGTTGCCACTGTTCCCTGTAAGATTGTTTTGTTCAGCAGCAGTCACCTTTTCTCATTAACTTAAAGTCCCAATACCGGCAGAACACGGAACCAAGCACCAAAACGGGTCAGGTAAGGAAACACGTGCTGAATTAGATGAGCAAGCGGTCATACAAGAAAGCGATAGTAACAGAAATAATGTCGAAGCAAGTCCAGTTCCATGACTTGAAGCGTAAGGCAAGAAGACAAACAGGTTAGGTAGAGGACACCTCTCAGTAGAGAAGTGTGAACGTCCTACGCGCGGCGCACCAGCGACGATGCAGGAGGAGAGGTGTTTGAGTGATAAGCAGAGCCTATGTATGGGAATGGATAACTATACACGAGCGGCTAATGGCCGAGTCATGGCTGCACCCCGTGCTTGCTCGCCTCCACTGGCTGCCAGGATTGAGGCCACAACAAAACCGCATATACATGCTCCTGTAGTCGCATGCGTCTATCCACACCGTAGGTGTGGTGATCTGATTGTGCATCAGACAAGGAAATAACGATCTAAACAATAATGTGGAGACTTAAAGGATCGCAAAGGCAGTGAATGCCACAAAAGTGGGAAATGACTATTGTTAATAATTTACATTAGCAAATGAGTAAATGTATCTTGTCATGTGAGCTTATAAAAGATAAAAAAATTACAACTTCGTTTTTGAAGTGATAAAATACGTTCTTATGGGATTGTAATAGGGGAAGAGAATTTCTCACTTTTGTTTATTTGCCTTGGAAATTAGAAGCAATACCTTTGCTCCTGACGATAATTTCTCCCACGTTGCTGCAGACTTTAATGCGTATCTACTTATTCGTTCGACCCTACAGCTAAAATACCAATCATTTGCAATGCCTACGTCCATTTCGGGTTTTAAAAGCACTGGAGTGCCTTTGACAGAGCCGTCGGATCTAGTCATTTCAAAGCATTCGGTGGATCAGAAAACATTTGTCTGACATTTCATGGTTTTCACCGATCGCTACAAAATAACCATTCTACTTACCGCAGGAAGGGTATATGTGTGCTAGCCGGATACTTCACCCATTATATTAATTGGGCAAGGCGTTCCCAGTAGTACATTTTGCCCACTTCTGCCTTCTTATTTTCTCTCATCACCTTAATGCATACCTGTTGGCCAACTAGAGGCTACACCGTGAGATAAATTTATGCGGCGCAAATTCAATGTTGCATCAACCATAACCTCATGCATATTCCTGCGGCTGAATAACTCTAGGGTCATGGGTACACGTGCAGCGGTCACTGGCATGGAACCGTCCTCAAGCGTGTAATGTGCATTATAATAACGGCACACGATACCATCCGATCAACAATGTTAATAGTTGCGTTTAGTATCTGGGCCCACAGACTACTCCAATGTGGAAACGGGGAGGCGATAAAAGTGAGAGAGGTAAGAAATTTTGACTGACTTACTAAACCGCCCGACAATGACGTTGAAGGCACACGCAGGTGGTGCGCTTCAAGTCCATTCCATCAAAATAAATAGTTACTCGTTCTAACTCATGCTCATCGGCATAATGAGAGACAGGACGTTGCAGTGCTCTCATTTGACGGCTATTTTTAATGTCGGTATGGTTGATTTATCGGTCCCAAACAAACCTCGCAAGCTGCGATCATTTGTAACGACTTTTCAAGTAGACACTCGGCTCTAGAATCCGCAAAACACAATTTTCTCCTGTAAAATTAGAGAAGGTTAAAGATTTGTGATGTTTCCTTAGGCAAGAGCTATGCGATGGATTCGTGGGATGAACAGGACGAAAGCGAATGCTGCGCTTTGGCAGTTGGCAACAGTAGTCTCAAACACATTTTCGTGATTTCCTTGCCGATGTGGCAGACCAGTGTTATTCTAACAGTACTAATGCCTTGCTCCTCATAAGGTTTTATTTCAAATAATTGCAAACTCTTGTCATGAATTAAAGAGAAATTCACCGTGATTCAAGATTATGCCACTGAAAACTTCTAGATCAAAACAAATAGTTACCATAGCATGCTAAAAATTAGACGACCTAGACGTAGTCATTTAACCCACACCCATTCGCATAGCACTTTGTTTCAGCCACTAATGACGCGCACTTTGAAGTAATTTTGGCGCCCATGCAGCCAGCTTCACTAAGTTAATGTACCTGAACACAGGGCCACCCATGCCACCATAACCTGTGAATACTACATCAGATGTTTTTGTTTTACCAAAAGTAGAATTAGGATCATTTGCAAACAATCATTCATAGATTAAAACAACGCAAAAAGGGCAGCCTTTGGAGAGCTAAACTGTTTCACCACCTGGAATGAAATTAGTGGAAATCGTAGGATAAAAATGCGGGCACAACCTAAACATGCAAACTGCCTGCACATTAGAGTATTAACCCCGAGCTCTAATCACTGTTCATTTAAATTTTTGCTAAAAATATCAATTAATTGAATCGCTCTTCAGGCTAGACCGAGCTGCACCTCTCTAGGAGTGATGAGGCAGATTCACAGAACGTAGCTAAAAACAACATCAAGCTACAAGCTATGCGATTTTCACAACCCATTGCATACATTCCGAATAAACGGTGCATTGTAAGAAGTATGTTGCAGAGATTCCTTATCCCACCTGTCTTAAAAGCTGTTTAAATGATAAGTGAACAAGGATTTGCTGGTTGGAAATGTCTCCGTAAGTAAGTAAGCATCATTACTCTGTAGTGAATGGTCACTGCGTAAGATAATAAAATGCGTAAATTACTCCAAATGCTCACATTGTAATGATAATCACTGGGTTTATGCTATTTTTAGTAGTGTTTTACCGATCAGATCTGGCCCCGAGTACACCCAATCATTGCTAATAATTCTGTTATCGGCAAGAATCCAAATAGTCTTTTCACTTCGAAATCTGGTGATATTTAAGGCCATGGCCTTGACGTCAAAGCGCCATGGCATAGACAACGTAACCCCCGGAGCTGGAAGTAAACAAACAACGAGGACCGCGCATAGAACCCAGAAAACACTCAAAGCGAACACACTTTCAGCTGTTTCGATCCTGTAGAAATGAAATAAAGCACACTCCAAAATCTCTTCACAATTTCCAGATGAGGAACCTCCAGGAGAAATCAAATTACAATTATGCAAGTATTGGCCATTGCATAGAAAACCGGAGTCACGGTGACCAAAGTTAATGCCATGACTAGGCTAAAGATTTGAACCGACCGCCATGTTGATGCATGCATGTACGCACGCACGTGAACAGACGTGCAGAAGAACACGATATAGAGCGAGAGATGATTGGCCAATAGAAATGTGATGTGATGCCTATTGGCTAACGCTGAAAAATAGGGCACGTTACCTTTGTTCAACGTCGGAAGGAGTAAACCAAATTGGTGCTTGCGCCTGTGCACTCTCTTTGTTTCGTCTCTCCCACTGCTCTGTTGATTTTCGCTCCATGAAGACACAGGGTCTAGTGAATACTAAGGGTCGACCTCATCACTGCTCTATCAGTCCCAGTTCCTGGCCTCGGCCGTATATTTGATATCTCATGTGGGGCATTGAGTTTTGGTTCAAGACCCGTGGGGGGCTACGGTTCCAAGACTGTTGTGGATGGCTGCCTCGAATTAACTGACGCTCCGAAACAGGTGAGTCTCGTAGAGGTGGGTGGTCTGAATTCGGTCGCTTCGATGGAGATTCTTCTTGCCTCTGAGGGTAGACGTGGCAAAACGGAATGGCTGGTAGTGTACGTACGGGGCAGTACAACAGCAATGCTCTTTCTCCCTCGGGAGACACGTCGCCACAGTTCGGTCCATTGCGGGCTCGCCATGTGTATGGAGTGGCTAGAAGCAGTTGGTATGAGCCAGATTCTTGTAGCTCTGCCCACTGGCGAAGAGGCGCTCTTCAAGAATCTGCTCTTCCTCGGCTTCTCTCGGGTTTCCAAGGCGGTAGTGACTGGTCAACTTCCCAGTTGGTGTGACGGCTACACTTTGCTCATTACCGATCTTGCTAAATCGTAATGCCCTATTTAATAAAGTGGTGCTTTGAATGGGTTCAGCTGCATTTCTGGTGTGATTTTTGCTTCCGGTAAATTATAGCGCTGGGGTTCGATGCGGGTTACTGCCTCATTGAGATGGCGGTGCGTCCCGCATATGTGGTGCCTGTGAGATTTTGGAATGGGGTAGTACAACCCCTGAGGTCGGTGTCATGCTAACGGAGTGTAGTGGGATGTCGTGGTGTGGCGATGCTAAGGTCCCGGCCGTGGGTTCGTAAATGCGCCGGGAGCTAGCTTTCCGTCGCGGCTGGTACGGAGTCGTGCGCTGAATAAATAGGCCTTTGCTACCCCAGTTTGGTCGAGCTGCGAGTAGGGAGGAGGCCGTGACTCATGGCCGGGTGACTTGGTCTGCACGCCAAAGCGAATACCGCCCTGACCAAGGTTATGGCTACCAGATGGCGGATGAGTCAAGCCGAACTCTGGGCTTGCAAATTGTCGATTTGCATTTTGCTAAGCCATTACTGAAATAAATTTACGGAATGTATATGAGACGTTATCACCTCAAATGACAGATGGACAACTTAAATAAGATGCAATTTACTCCATGAAAAAATTCCGAAGGTCCCGAATAAAGGCATCCGCAGCTAGCAATGATTATTTGAAGTTTCGTCCTTAAAATGTAATGAAGTCC